CATGTCCTGCTAGCACCACTGCATCCTGTCTCCTTACAGACTACTTCCTCTGTTTACTCTTTTGAAAGCAGTAAGCCATTTAAAAACCAAGAGTGGCAAACACTGATTCAGTTATAAAGGTGTCACAGCATAGAACGTTAGTAGTTTTGTGATTCTGGCCAAGTAAGTTTAGAGACCCCCCCCTTCTTTCTTCATCTGAGACAAAGCCATTGTATTTTTAAAACTGTACAACATTCCCTCTTCAGAAAACGTTAACTTTGTAATAACATTGTTTAGGGCTGGCAGAATCTTCTTTTTTGTTGCTGCCTTTCACTATTAGCCCTGTAAATCTGGATTCATCAGAGCAGAAACCAATGAAGACCTAGCATTTCAATGAGGACTCCCTCAAGAGTTAAAGGGGGGGCTGTCCCCCCCCAAAGATGTTGTAGCTCCAAAAGCTGCAAATTCAGGGACTCGTCATCAGGAGAGAAGCCCAGGATCCATTTGCAAGCTGAAACTTTGGGGGAGGGGGAAAGGTGGTGTCTTGGGATGAATAATGTTTTATCACCTTCTAAGAGCAAAGCTGGTGCTACATCTGTTTTGACTCTCAGAGACATCAAAGGCAATAAAGAGATGTGCATGAGAACCCGGGGGTGGCACCCTTTCTAGCGGTGGCTCATGCCACTCCCGGTTTTGGCATGGATCAGGGCAGTCAGAAGAGTTTGTTTCAAGCTGGATGGTGGTGGAGGAGGATAGGAGGAGAATGGAATGGCTTCCTCAGCCTCCTGGTTGAATGACCCATTTGGCCATTCCCGGAAGACAAGTTTTGGAAGAGATGAATGCAGATGGAAGGAGATGGACGAGGAGGAGGAGGGACCTCATGTGGGACTATTGTAGGGTCAAGGAAGGATGGCGGGAGGTGGTTGAGTTGATGGCGGGAGGTGGATGGACAGAGATTGTCACTGGAGGTTCTCGCCCATCCCTACATCACAACATAACATCCAGAACAAGTAACAGTAGCACAAGAAGAAAAAGGAGTGAGGATGGGGGACAACCTACAAAGAATTCAAACACTAAGATCACATGCTCCAACATGCAATTAAAAAAATATATCCTGAATCCAAACCTTCCTTTGCTGGCACCGATTCTTTGCTCGCTTGAGAGGTCCTCTGCCATCCCACCTCACCCACCAGCTGAGGGTCTAGACTCTGGCAAACAGCTCCCTTCTCCCCTGCCACCCCA